GAGTTGTAAAGAGTCGGTTGACAGAGACGTCAACCAATTGAGTGAGGGAGGATGTTACGGTCATGCTTGCCCAAAGCGTATTGCCTATGGTCGCATGACAGATGTCTCAATCTTGCTTGTTTGAGTTGGTTGACAGGGAGGATGTCACGGTCATGCTTTTCCAAAGCATGTTGCTTATGGCCGCATGACAGATGTCCCAGTCTTGTTTGAGTCGGTTGGCAGGGACGTCAACCAATTGAGTGGGGGAGGATGTCACGGTCATGATTTTTCAAGGCATGTTACCTATGGTTGCATGCCCGTTCTAAACCCCTTTTTCATACTTTCATCTTAGATAGGTTTTTACCATTTCATATCGGGTCAATACAGGGGTGTATGACCGTTCACCAGAATCACGTCTACACCCGCCTGGGCAAAAATGCCCCAAAATGTACTCTAAGGGGATATGACTAGTTGTCAACTTCTTCTTACCCGATAGTTACATGCAGTAAGCCGTTGTTGTTGCCTTTTTGCTTACATTCCCATATAACTTTTGAGATATGATTCAAAGTAGTTGAGATATGATTCAAAGTATTCAAACTACCAAGATTTTAGGAGATTGTTAGTAGATTTGAATTTATCTAGTATTTCGTGTATTGATCTTCTCCCTTAAAGCATTGTAAACTCCTTCAATCAGGTTCTCATCCTATTTCCCTTGTTCAAGAGTGAAAGCAAGCCAGCCAGCCATGTGTAAGGTGAAAGCCCCCAAAATGGTTTTCCAACTTGTTACATGAAAGTTCTACCAATTCTGAAAACTGGTTTGATGGATAAGTTAGTCAAAATAAAGGATTCTCTTTGGGAGACAATGATGGGTTCTCTGCCCCTGCGGGGTGCAAGAACTCTGAATCATTCTCTTCATCAGAAATGATCCGCAAGCTCCTTTGACTCTATTATTCCCTGACCTTTCAGTTCGAGTTGCCTTCTTGAACGAGGTAAATAGATAGTAGTAGTCTTTCTCCGCAAGGTTCGTCCACAGAGGGTCGACGCAATTATCAGGGGCTCGCTCTACCACTGAGCTAATAGCCCGTCTCCTCGTAAAGTCGGTCTCATGGCTTCGCTTCGCTCCTTGGGAAAAGGATTGAATATGCAAGTTCAGGAGAATGGAAGAAATGGCTCATTCACCTATCGGTCTCATTGCTTCGCTACTTCACCGGAGTGCTCAAAGGCTGAGAGTACCAATGCTGACTATTGGAATTGTGTAAGCCTTTAAGTAATAGAATGAGAAAACAATAATAAAGCACGACAGCTTTGATCTATTCCTATCTCTTTCATTATTCTTTTCTCCAACAAATTTAGTATCAGAGCCAAGTTCTTTTCAACACGAGAGTGAGCAATTATTTTTACTTTTCACAAAACGAACATGGCACTAGCTGGTTTTTCTTTCTTTGCACCGCCGTTACCAATTTTTAATGGTGAGAAATATGAGTGGTGGAACATCAAGATGAACACCTTGCTCAGATACCAGGAGCTTTGGAACTTGGTGGAGCACGGGTTCGTTGATGTATTAGAACCCACAAGAGAGACTAAGAGAAACCAAGAAAAATGATGTCAACGCCCTGTTCATTATTCAATAAGCAATTCATGAGACTATTTTTTCACGGATTGGAGTAGCAACCACATCAAAGCAAGCATGGTTAATTCTGCAGAAGAAGTTTTAGGGAAATTCAAAGGTCATAACAGTGAAATTGCAATATTTAAGACGTGATTTTGAAACTCGCTCATGACGAATGGCGAATCAATTGCTGACTTTTTGTGTAGAGCAATAGCAATAGTCAGTCGGATGCGTACCTATGGAGAGAAAATTTCAGACGAAACAATTGTTGCTAAGGTATTGAGAAGCTTAACTCCAAAGTTTAACCATGTGGTGGCTACCATAGAAGAAGCTAGGAATCTATCAATACTCTCCGTTGATGAACTGATGGGTTCGCTTCAAGCTCATGAGTCAAGAATCGATAGATCACCAGAAAGGAATGAAGAAAAGACATTACAAGTGAAGGAGACAGCAAACAACGAAGGCAACGAAAGAGAAAATATTCATTTAGTAGGTAGAAGTCGTGGAAGAGGAGAATTTTGCAGGCAGTTCAATGAACAAAGTAATATAAGGAAGGTCATACAATGTTACCATTGTAGAAGGTATGGGCACGCAAGAGCTGATTATTAGTATAAATATTAACAAATGAATTTTGCAGTAGAAAATGAAGAAAGAGAAGAAAAGTTTTTTATAGCGTGTATTGATATTAATCCAAAAGAAGGTGAATTATGGTTTGTTGATAGCGGATGCTCGAACCATATGACAGGCATCAAATCTTTATCCCAAGAGCTTGATGAGACGCAAAGAATCAAGGTGCAACTTAGAAATACAAAAGAGATGCAAGTTGAGGAAAAAAACACAATGAAAGTCGAAACCAGTTATGATAAGATAAATCTATTAGATAATGATACAAAAGAAATTACAGTTGAAGTTTCTACAGATGAAGAGATAAGGGTCAACTCCAGTGCATCTCCTAGTGCCTCCACTACAACACAAAATCTATCAAATTCATCATCTTTAGCATCACTAAATTGCAACTCTTCTCTTGAAGAATTTCCGGATGAGACACCTCTAAAGAAGTATAAATCTTTAGCTGACATATTTGCATTATGTCAATTTGCTCTTACTCTTTCAAACTCTATGAGTTATAAGGAGCAGCTGAAAAAGAAAGAGATGAAGAAAGCCATGGTAGAAGAGATGCAGTCCATTGAGAAAAATGGAACATGAGATATGGTTGACTTGCCAAACGAAAAGTTCTATAGAGATTTGCATGGGATATGCAGCCAATTGCAGTGGTCTGTTTATCAGTTTCATGAAGGTTTATAAGAAGAGGTCTATGTAACATAACCAGAGGATTCATAAAGAAAGGCAAAAAAACAAAAATATACAAGCTGAGACAGACATTATACGGGTTAAAGCAGACATATGACAGACATTATACGGGTTAAAGCAGACATACTTACTAGGTTTTATCAAAAGAAAAGTTATGATACTTCAGACCATTACTTGACATCTGCAACTTTGAATCTAGGGGGAGAGATATAATTCAAAGCATTCAAACTACCAAGATTTTAGGAGATTGTTAGTAGATTGAATTTATCTATAGAATTTAGTGTATAAGCCTATAAATATTGGAATTGTGTAAGCCTTTAAGTAATAGAGTGAGAAAACAATAATAAAGCAGCTTTGATCCATTCCTATCTCTTTCACTATCCCTTTCTCCAACAATAACACCGATTTCAATTTCTCAAATCTTGATTTTGAAACTCTCTTTCAAAATCTCTCTGCCCCCATTTTCTAAAACTTTCTTCTTGAACCGGGGCCAGAGGCTCGAGCATACGTCGCTTGGCTGTAAGTGACGCAAGAACGAATAGGCTTAACTCACTTATTGGTGGGAAGTGTGTGTCGCACAATCACAAGTCCGCTGCCATCAAAGTGCGATTGTGACACTCAGCTTACTAGTAACGTGACCTAAGACATTGCATAACAACTCTGGTTCTACCGCCTTACTTACTCTGATATATTTAAACTATATAATACATAGGTAAATAGAAACATTATGTGTTCGAAAACATCTTTGAAACGACACAACGAAATACTAAATGAAATAAATAAGTGTTACACTACTCTAACCAAAGTCTAAGAAAATAAGTAGAACTACCCTATACATGTGTCATGGTCTTGAATTGCGATGACAAAATCAGCCGTATAGGGTGTCTTGCCTTTACTTGAAATTGAAGTAGCGCACGTCTTGAGTATTTTAAGAAATACTGTGTAAGTGACCCCATTATTGGAGTCAGGGAATGCAAACACATTCAACTCATGATCTAGGGACCTATCGTTAAAACCATCATAGGGTGGCCTCCAATCTTGACAGATTGAATGTGTAATACTTTCCTACACACGACTCACGTGTGCAAGCGTGGATCCCCAGGCGGTTCGCACCCTCTTGGACCCATCATAGTCGAACTAGCTGTTTGTAACGACGTCCGGAGGTCAACAGACCCCTAAGTGTCATGTGAGGCATGCTCATCATCATCATAATCGTATGCGTGTCTGTATTCATCATCATAAATATAGAAGTAACCCAATGTATATGTACCCAAAAATGCATGAGGTCTCTGTAGTATTCATCTTTAAATTATTCTTCTGACACATTACCCTAGTAACATGGAGACATTGGTCTTCATACATTCGTCATTGTTAACACCAATTAGGATTGTGTCTTAGAAAAGGCGTCGTCATAATGCATAAAGGCATTTAATACATACACATCATCTTAATATAGAATATCATCATATTAAATCATCTCATCATCATTCATCTTACATCATCATATTTTCATGCATCATCATCATCATGTCATCATATCATGTACATTCTCACATCATCATATAACGTCATCACAATATCACATAACGTCATCACATGGCTCCTTCATATACTCATATAACGTCATAACATCATCTAAGACCATAGTCTAATAATTTTTTTTTTTTAGTCAGAGTCGAGCCGAGTGAGTTACACTCATCATGCATATATAAGGAGGCTAGAGCACGCGCGGGTCTGGTTACGTTCTCAGGCATGTAGGTATCTGTTGCACCGTGTGGCTCACTGGGCCATGAGCGTATGTTGGGTCGCAAGCATCTTTTATTGGGTTGAGCTGGATTTGGGGCGTGTGCGTTGGCTGAGGGCTGCGTAATTAGACATGGGCCATGGGTATGATTTTGTGGGTGGAGCCTTCTGACTGTGTGGCTACACTAAGGTCTTGGGTTGCTAAAGAAGCTCCAAGTTCAGATCCATCTCGATACCTCTGTCTTCTCCGCTAGATTGTCACGCGAATTCGTAGCCCTAATGTCCAATGAACTTCTCTCTTTTGTCATTTCCTTTACATTTAATTTTTGGCCACAACACGACTACTATTCACTCACATAATGTCTCTATCTGTAGTAGCCTAAGGAGCTTTTCCTTTCGAGCTTCCCCTCAAGGTTTCTAAAATGCGTCTACTAGGGAGAGGTTTCCACAGTGTGTTTCATTCTCCTCCCCAACATATGTGGGATCTAACAATCCACCCCTCTTTCAGGGCCCAACATTCTCGCTGGCACTCGTTCACTTCTCCAATCGACATGGGACCCCCAATCCACCTTCCTTCGGGGCCAGTGTTCTTGCTGGCACACGACCTCGTGTCCACTCTCCTTCAGGGATCATCCTCCTCGTTGATACATTTTTCAGTGTCTGCTCTTATACTATTTGTAACAATCTAAACCCACCGCTAGCAGATATTGTCCTCTTTGGGCTTTCCCTTTTGGACTTTCTCTCAATATTTTTAAAACGTGTATGCTAGGAAGAGGTTTCCACATCCTTACAAAGAATGCTTCATTTTCTTCCCCAACCGATGTAGGGTCTCATACTATGAGTCTCCCGTTGTGTTATCGTCGCGGATGAGAACACAAAATGAGATTTTCTATCGCGTTTCCAACTCCTTTCTTCATTTAGTTTCCCTTTCTTTTATCACTCTCTCTTCCTTCTCTTTTTTATTTTCTCTCTCTTGAAGGTTTGCCATGATGGAGTGGCATGAGGGAAGTTATAAAAGCATAGAAGGAGTAGTTGCACTGCGAGATTCACGGCGCTCACTGGAAATCTCGTGTTTCTTGTGAGTGCCATTTTTTTTTTGTTACATTACATTATATACCCATAAAAAAAAACTTTCATCCTCCAAAATGTTAAAACTCCTTTATTAACTTAGGATTTTTTTTGGTTGCGAATGCCATTTTTTTTTTGTTACATTACATTATATACTCATAAAAAGAACTTTCATCCTCTAAAGTGTTAAACTCTGGTATATACTTAGGATATTTCTCTCCTAACTCATCTTCTCATTCCCATGTGGCTTCTTCTATCGAGTGGTTTTGCCATAGTACCTTGACAAAGGCAATACCCCTCGTCCGTAAAGCTTTCACCTCACGAGCCAAGATCCTAACAGGATTATTGTCATAATTTAAGTTCTCATCAATCTGAAGGGGCTCATAGTCTATCACGTTAGTATGGTCCGTTATATACTTTCTGAGCATTGACACATGGAACACATCGTGTACCCTTGAGAGGGAGGGTGGTAGGTCCATTGGTCCAATTCACCCTAATAAGATCCCTCATACTATGATTTTCTTCCTCTACTTTTTAATAAACTGTGGAAGAGAAAACAGACACTAATTGATATGAACCAAAAGACATCAATCATACAATATACTTCAATGAAGATGTGAAGAAAAGGTTGTCAAAATTAACAAAAGATGTTTCAATTCATGCCACATTGAAAAAGAATGAAGTTTGATTGTTATAAATTTTGGGTGGGTTACAATTTAGAGTAATTTAGAGTTATTTTTTTTAAGACTTTATATACTTTAGGTTACAATTAATAATGGTTAATTATGGTCATTAAGTATGAATGTTACCACTCTTGAAATGACTTTAATAGTTTCATTTTGAGGCTATATAAAGCCATGTATGTTGTATTTGTAAGTAGACTTGGAAAATATAGTAAAAGAAGAATTTGTGCTCTTCTTTAGCCAATGACTAAGTTTCTTTGCAATTCTATGTAGTTTAGGTTGCATGTAGAATCATTCAAGCTCGACATGATCAATCTTTCTTGTGGAGTGATTAGAATCTCAAGCAAGTGTTTTTGCCTTGAGATATTTGGTCAACAAGAAGCATTCAAGCTAGACGTGATCGATCTTGCTTGTGGAGTGATTCAAATCTCGAACAATGTTCTTGCCTTGAGATATTCGATCAACAAGGTAATCCGAATCTTACTCCCCTTATAGTGATTCCTTATCTTATCACTAATGATCGTTATTATTTGTGTTATGAATATGCCGACATATTTCATTCTCCCACTTACTATTTTGAAAATACTTTTCATGAAATTCCAAATGATACCGATCCATACAAACACATTTTGTGATGAAAATCCAAAGGCCCTCATGAGGTCGGTATAAATTTCTTGATGTAAATCAATGATAGGGAGCATATGATATCTTGTTGTGTATCCTTCTCCCATTAAATGTGTAACGGCTCTAAATTTTACCTATTTAATCTAAGGTCATTACTATACCTTGAAATGCGGAATTTACATTAAATAGGTCTTGATTATAAATGCGACTTACACTCGTCTTTTATTACCTCGTGAAAGAGAAAACAAATACAAGGGAAAGAAAAGAAAAAGAACAATATTGAAAAAAAAAAAAAAAAAGGAACAAAACTTGGGATGAATGTCTTATACTACCCTATGGTTTATTATGCAAATACAATTCAACCTATACTAACCTATACTAATGATGCAAACCGAATTCAACCTAGACTATGAAATGGAAAAACAACTACCCTATGCATGTGCCACGGTCCCGGGGTGTACGATGCCGCCGATGTCACATGGGTGCCTTGCCCTTATCGAATACTCAGTAAGTGACCCCCTATCGAGGTTATGCAACAATCACATATAATGAAATGATGGGGCCTATCTTTCGTTTTGTTTCGTTTCATTTTCCTTACGATGTTGTCCTAATGGGTAAACTTTGGACGTGTACCATATACTCTACACACAGCCCATACGTGCGAGTATGGGCTCACTAGCTAGTTCGCACACCGCTGGGCCACTTTCCTTATCCGGTGTGCATACTCTGGGAACTCCTTATGCTGGAACCCGTTAGAACTAGTAACTGTCACGGTAGCGTTATGCAAAGCATAACGATCGTTGTCTTGCCATTGGATGTACGCGTCCGTAACCTCGTGATGGGATAGGGATATCCCCCCAGATGCATGAACACACATAATGCATGGGGTCCCCATTACTTCTACATTTATCATCAATGAACATAAGCCCCTGTCACATTCCATGCTTACATGTCATTCTCATTTTCAATTTACGTATCATACATATACCTATTGGGGTTATGTTTCCAGGCAGTTTACCGTATTTCATGTCATACAATTCATGTTGTTTAATTTAAATATTCCATACAATTCATGCTGTTTAATTCAAATATTCCATACAATCATGTCATAATCATTCAAGAACAACATATCGTCACATGCATTACATATCACATCAGACTAAGCAACATACATAGCATACATAGCATACATTCACGTTCACTTGATTACGTACTTAAGCACAACAAACTAGCATACAATTTAATGACACGTGCGAATCCACGGGCACGTGCCAACAAACAACAAATAACGCGTAACCTACGATGGGTGAGTCACTTACTTGGTAGGCCTTAGCTGCTCCCTAAAATATAAACGTAAGCTCCTAGCTCCTCGTGAACGTTCTACGCTTCCGTTGGTGGTTGGTTTCTATTGGATCATTTGTCACCTTCGTTAGTACTTCAAAAACATAATTAATTTTCAACTTGAATTTGTGAAATATGACCTTAAAATGATCAATTTTACCTTAAACGGGGCCGAAACTAAGTCCAGGAGGGTCGGGACGATGACAAACGAGCCGAAAACAAGTTTCCCGAGCCGAATAAGCCGTCAAAGCCGAGAAGCCACCACCGAGCCGATTAAGCCGCCGGAGCTGAGGGGTGTCGCGTTGCAAACGTGCCACGTGGCAAAACCAGAGGGCGACGCATGTGCAGTGGTCTCAGGTCGAGGCGCGGATTGACGGGTCGCTCGCGGGTTTTTGGGTCGTTCGCGGGTTATGGGTCGGCCTGGGCTGGAGGAACGAGTAGGTGGGCTGGGCTGTGCGTGTCAGGACTGGGCTTGCAGGTTTGGGCTTGTTGGTTTTCACAGAATTTCGGTGAGAGAGGAAATTGGGAAAATGCGTAACAAAAAGGAGAGAGAAAAATAACTCTGACTGCGTTCGGGTTGTTTTATTTTCTGAACAAATATCCTATTTAAAGTAAAAAGGATTCTAAAATTGGCTGAGAGTGGCCAACTAAATCTGTGCCACTCCCTACAAAATTTCAGTCTAAAACTATGGTGATCCATTCGACGTGATTTGTCAAATGGTCAAACTCACGATTTTCTGAAATCGTGTGAATAAGAAAAACGGTAAAACTCAGGTTTTATCTAACAATCTCCTCCTAAAACCTGTAGTATATCTACCTTACTATTTGAACTCCGATCTTTGAGCATAGTTCTTCAAATTTCACCTGCGCCAGGGACTTGGTGAAGATGTCTCCAAGTTGTTCCTCTGTTCGGATGTAATCAATTTTGATGAGCCCTCGATCTGCACATTCTCGAATGTAGTGGAATCTGATTTCTATGTGCTTGCTTCGTTCATGCAAAACTGGATTTTTGATCAGGGAGATCGTAGCTTTGTTGTCTACGTATAGCATTGGTGGATCACTTTCTCTCCCGATGAGTTCTTCCATTAGTCGCGCAAGCCAGATCCCTTGTGTTGCTGCCATCGAAGCGGCGATGTATTCTGCTTCACAGGAAGACAAAGCAACTACCTTCTGTTTTGTTGATTGCCAGCAGATTGCGCCGCCTGAGAGAAAGTAGATCATTCCGCTAGTGCTCTTACGATCATCAACGTCACCGGCCATGTCACTATCACTGTAGCCAACTAGCTTGAGTTTCTCTTTTCCGCTCCCTGCGCAGTATCTTACACCCCAGCCTCTGGTTCCGGCTACATAGCGCAGGATGCGCTTGACAGCCGCTAAATGCTCCTCCCTAGGTGCTTCCATAAACCGGCTCACATATCCAACAGAATAAGCAAGATCAGGACGAGAGTTTACCAGATAGCGTAGACTCCCGACAATGCTGCGGTAATTGGTGGAGTCGACTGTCGTCGTAGTGCCAGCCTTCCTTAGTTGGAGTCGGGCCTCCATTGGTGTCCTTGTAGGATTACTGTCCACAAGTCCAGTTGTGTCCAGCAGCTTCTTTGCGTATGCACTTTGGCAGATAGAGATGCCGGTAGAATTCTGTTGCACTTCGATGCCGAGATAGTAGCTGAGCACGCCGAGATCGCTCATCTCGAAGTTTTTCGACATCTCCTTCTTGAACCTTCCGAGGACTTCCATGTCACCTCCAGTGATTATGAGGTCGTCGACGTACACTCCCACGATTAGTCGCTTCTTGTCATGGCCGTGCGTGTACATGCCATGCTCAGAGGCGCAACGTTTGAATTTCAGTGACAGTAAGGTACTGTCGAGCTTCGCGTTCCAGGCTCGTGGAGCTTGTCGAAGCCCGTAGAGTGCCTTGTGCAGGCGCAATACTTTATTGGGGTTGTTGTTATCCAGGAAGCCAGGTGGTTGTCGGACATAAACAGTCTCCTTCAGCTCTCCGTTAAGGAAAGCAGACTTTACGTCCATATGGTGAACCTCCCAAGAGTAATGTGCTGCAATTGCAAGTAAGAAACGAACGGATTCTAACCTTGCCACTGGCGCAAATACCTCTTCGAAGTCCACTCCTTGCTTCTGGACGTAGCCCTTCGCCACCAGACGGGCCTTGTGTTTCACAACTTCTCCTATTTCGTTGCGTTTCAGTTTGAAGACCCATTTGAGCCCTATGGCTTGGTGTCCCGGTGGCATATCCTCCAGACTCCACGTCTGATTTTCGGTGATGGATGTCATCTCCTCCTGCATTGCCTTCAGCCAGCACGGGTTCTTTTCTGCTTCGGCGAAGGTGTTTGGTTCATCTGCACTGATGGCATGTAGTTCGGCCACTTCTTCGAGCTCGCGCACTGCCAGTCCAGGTGGTTCACCTCCTCCTACTAGGTCGTCCATCCTCCGGTACCTGGCCTCCAGATCAGTATCGTGATCGGCATCCAGCGTCGAATCCGCAGTCCGTGGTGTTGCGAATTCCACTGGTTCAGGGGTTGCACCTACTGGCGACGGTGACGGCTGCTGATGCTGGGCTCCTCCTTCTTCCGGCTCAGTGACGAGGTACTTCACCGTAAATTGATTTGGATTATGGTCTGCCTCGATCACGTCATTCCACTGCCAGAAGGTGCTTTCATCGAAGACGACGTCGCGAGACACGTGAGCTCGCCCCCCTACAGGATCATATAGTCTGTACGCCTTGCTCCCGGGTTCATAGCCGATAAAAACGACCTTCAGCCCCCTAGGATCAAGCTTGGCGAGGTGGGGACGTGTTACCTTCATGTAAGCGACGCAGCCGAACACGCGAAAATGATGTACCGCTGGTTTTTTGTTGTACCAGGCCTCATATGGTGTCTTCCCGTCAAGGCTTCGGGTTGGTGACCGATTGAGGAGATATACGGCCGTCATTACTGCCTCTCCCCAGAATCTCCCAGGCATCCCGGCCGTCACCAACAATGACCTTGCTGTCCCGACAATGGTCTGATTCCGGCGCTCCACCACTCCGTTCTGTTGGGGGGAGTAGGGCGCCGTTAGGTGTCGTTGTATGCCGATTTCGTCACAGTACTTACCGAAACTTGTCGAGGTGAATTCTCTGCCTCGGTCTGTGCACAGCACTCGCATCTTCTTCTCACATTCGGCCTCCGCTCGCGCTTTAATGCACTTAACCGCCTCTGCCGCCTCACTTTTCGCTTGCAGCAGGGTCAGCCACATGAAGCGGCTTTTGTCATCGACCAACAGGAGGAAGAGACTCTTACCGCCTGGGGTCGCCGGCTTGATGGGCCCGCAGATATCGCCATGTACAAGCTCCAACGGCTCATCGGCTCGATAGGATGTTCGAGACGGAAAGGGTGTGCGCCTCTGTTTGCCGATGAGGCACCCGTCGCACAGCTTGTTCACGCCTTTGATTGCTGGCAAACCGTGCACTAACTCCTCCTTCTGTAGTTTTTCTAGAGCAGGAAAGTTTAAATGCCCGTACCTTGCGTGCCACCTCCAAGATACCTCTTCGGTCTTGGCCGAGAGACTGACAGGTTGCTCTATCTGTAACTCCAGGATGTAAAGACGGTTTGTCGTGCGCCTTGCCTGTGTGAGCAGCCGTCGTTGATTATCGCAAATTTTGAGTAATCCGCGCTCGATGGAGATGAAACAGCCTGTCTCATCTAGTTGACCCAGGCTCACAAGGTTAGCCTTGAGCCTCGGGATGAAGTAGACGTCGGTCAGCTTGCGATGCTCGCCTCCCTTGCTGGCGAATAGGATGGTGCCGCGTCCTTCGATCTCGACGACGGATCCGTCGCCGAATTTCACCGTCCCGCGGATCCCCGAGTCGAGTTCGGAGAATGCAGATCTAGCCCCGGTCATATGGTTTGTTGCCCCTGTGTCTAGGATCCATCGTCGGTCCTTGTGTTGCTCGTCCCGCTCGCTGATCTGAGCGAACACTCGCTCCTCCTCCAGTTGAATTGGCTCCCTAGCTGGTGCCACCTTTGCTACGCCCAGCTGGAGCTCTTTCTCGAGTTCAACATCGTTGTTGATTACCTCCATTTCCGTGGATTTGGAATCGATAGTGGGGACACATGCACTTACCATGAAGAGAGCTGGCTCGTCCTCCTCGGATTGAGCCACATGGGCCTTTTCGGCCTTCTCCTTGTTCCTAAGCTTGCTCCAGCAATTCCTGCTTAGGTGTCCTCTCTTCCCACAGTTCGAGCAGATTGGCCTTGCCATTGGTCGACTCCTTCTTTTGATTCCCATCTTTCCCGCGCATGCGCCCGTGGGAGATCCATGGCTTCTTACCGTCTTTGCGGCTGGAGGAGGACCCGTTGCTCTCGCCGGTGTTGTCACGGAGCTTTAGACGTGCAAGCCATTCCTCCTCAGTGAGGAGTAGACGACCCCCCTTGTCGACAGCTGAAATGGTATTTTTCTTCCGCTGCTCGACGTTACGCAGTCTTCCGGTCACCTCTTCTACCGTTAGGTCGTTCACATCAAGCAATGTCTCGATTGAAATCGCAACTTGCTCGAGGTGATCAGGGACAACCTGCAGCATCTTCTTCACGATTTCTGTCTCGCTGATGCTGCCACCGAGTGTGGTGATGTTGTTGGCGAGCCCCGTGATCCGCATTGAAAAATCATCGACGGATTCACCGTCCTTAAAGTGGATCTCCGAGAGCTCCTTCCGCAACTGCTCGATGTTGGATTCCCACACTCGCTGTACACCGACCCGACGGGATTTGATTCCCTCCCAGGCCGATTGCGCGGTGCGCTTGGTGGAGAGAGATGCCAGCATCTCTGGGGGCACAGATCGTAATATGGCGGCAAACGCCAACCCGATCCTCACGGTACTCAATCATTTCTCCTTCCTCTGGCTCAACAGCATGCCATAACCCTTGCGCCTGTAGGTTGACGCGCATCAACAAGATCCATTCGTTATAATTGGACTTTGTCAATATTGGATACTGAACGACGGCAGTCGTTGTCTCCCTGATAACTTGACGCCCTCTTCGTGGCGGCGGTGATGGAGATGTCGGCACACGACGACGACGTGGAGGAGTGAGTGAGCCTGCCCATCTCCACGATGTGTGTGTTTTTACACTTTGCATTTTCTTCTACTCGAACCTAAGACCTTTGTGATGTTAGGTCAAAGCTCTAACCACTTGAGCTATTCAACTTGTTTGTTGATAGGTTGGCTCCTCTGCAATGATATACACCGATCTTCAACTTGGCTCTGGTGGTTTTCACAGAATTTCGGTGAGAGAGGAAATTGGGAAAATGCGTAACAAAAAGGAGAGAGAAAAATAACTCTGAGTGCGTTCGGGTTGTTTTATTTTCTGAACAAATATCCTAAAGTAAAAAGGATTCTAAAATTGCCTGAGAGTGGCCAACTAAATCTATGCCACTCCCTGCAAAATTTCAGTCTAAAACTATGGTGATCCATTCGACGTGATTTGTCAAATGGTCAAACTCACTATTTTCTGAAATCGTGTGAATAAGAAAAACGGTAAAACTCAGGTTTTATCTAACAGGGCTGAGGTGACTGGGCCTGCGGGTTTGGGCTGAGTTACGATGGTTGGACTCGGTTCGGGTCGGACTTCGTCTTCTTCACCCGGTTGCCTGCGTTTATTTTCCAGCGACCTCTCTCTCTCCTCGTTAACGTCGTTTCGACGTCCTTTTTTTCCTCCTTTTTCCTCCGTTCCCGAGTCTCTTTCACCCCCTACTTCCGTTTTTTAGTATTGGTTTGGTTCGTAAAGGCCTCACACTCCCGGATCTAAAAGGGTTCGAAAATTCGACGTTCCGTCTCCCTTACTGACGGTGTACAACGTGTAGGACTCGTCTAAATATACCCCTGATGTGTGTAAAAGGCTCTGAGTTTACTTTTGTTGCGTAAAATGGAGGTTTTGACGTCGATTTCGTAGGGTTTAGCCACGCCGAAGTTTCTTCAGTTTTTCTCTGTCTTCTTTATTTTCACTTATTTTTTTTTTTCTTTGTAGGTGTTTTGGGGTGGCTGAATGTCGGGATCAAGTTTCCTTGGCGTCCCAGACTTCAGTCGCCCTTTGTGGGTCGTGTGCGAACGGTCGCCGGAGTTTTTGGTTGGGCCGACTACTCCGTTTTTTTTTTTTAATACGATCTGTTACAAAATGCAACCTATGTTAAATTCAATTATCTAAATTTCTCAATCAAACAATTTTCATAATTTTGATGTTGATTAAGCCTTATCACGATAGATACTTGACAGACGAAACCTTATCACCTACTAGTTTGCAACAAGCAACTTCATGTAAGCACGTCGAATTGAATTCCAAATTTCTATTTGTTCTTTAGGTCGATGATAAACTAAAATTTAAGATGTTTTAAATTTTGTTAAATTAATAAATTGTTTAATTTACTTCGAGACATTCTTCCATTTCTTTCATAGTTTCTTTCATTTCTTTCATATATTTTTTATTTGAACTTTAACTATTTTTTTTTTTTCAACTCTAATTTCAATTTTAAAATTTCTGTATCCACCGCCACAAAAATAAGAACCGATGATAGTGTTTCTTTTTTTAAAAAAAAAATTCGGAGTTTTTATTTTATTTTATTTTATTAAATCACTTATAAAATAATAAAACAATGATCCACTAATTATAGTTTTTTTTTTCTTTAATTTCTTTATGGTTCTCGAATGTGATGCAATAAAATAATAAAATTTAAGACTTATGATATAAAGGAATTTGTTAAAGTTTTAAAGCAAAGTTCACATAAGGTTTAGAGTATAAAGATAAAATTTATATTTAAAGAAAAGTACTTTTACTTAATTAAAAGTTTTTTTTAAGTGTATGATTCTTTTGGTTTTTTTTTTTAAGATAAAATATAAAGTAAAATTTATACCCATTTATGTTTACTTTTGTTAGATCGATCTTAAATGATCCAAAGTTTATGCTAATTATATTTACTTTAACTAATCTAAAAGGAAAACATCTTTTGCTTTTATTTACCTTTTTTATTACTGAAAACAATTTAACTGAAGAGGTTTTCATAAAATAAACAATATTGATCGGTTAAAGTTCTATTTTTAATTTCCAGAGATAACTAAGTAAATACAATCTAGATTGTGATTCTATTATTGTACAAAATTCTTAACAAAGCAAAATTTAATATATAACTTGATTTTTGACAAAGTTGAATGTATTACTTGCAACATAAGGGTGGATTAGAGATATATATTAGAAACTTGAGGATATGCCGAAATCAATTGAATTATATTCAAAATTATCTATCCTCAATGAATTGAATTATATTCAAAATTATTTATTTAACTAGATATCCCGATAACTATGAAACTTTTTTTTTTTTTTTTTTTTAAATATTGGAATTAGATTCGAAAATGTAATGTAAGTGGATTCATAAATTGAAGGTGAAGAAGGAGGAGTAGCATATGTGTATATAAAGGTGAAAGTGGTAAACAATTGACCTAAAGCAAAACAAAACAAAGCTGTAGAATTACAAAGGTTTCTTATTATATTAGAGTTACCCTATCTATCAAAGCTCAAGATGACGTTTGGACTCATAGGAGGTGTGGTGGATTCCATCGGACAAGTAGGCGGTAACAAGCTTGGAATTTTTGAACCGATTGGGAATTTGGCCGACCAAATTATTCTTGGAATTGCAGAATTTGCACTGAATTT